CTCTAATCCTATTTTTTGCATTAGGTTCTGAAATAAAAAACAGTGAAATGCCAGGATTTTAAAAGCTTGACAGATTGACATCACACTGTCACTTAACATTGCTGGAAGTAAGTCGGACTAATTTCTGGTGAGAGTTGGACTTCGCCAAGGCTGCCTTTTGTCACCGATTCTGCTCATAACTTTTATGGACAGGATTTGTAGGCGCAGCCAAGGTGCTGAGGGGAACCATTTTGGTGGCCTAAGGATCAGGGGTCTCATTTATCAAACGTTGCATAGAATCCTTACTAAAACCGTACTTAAGCTCAGCAAAAGAAATTTACTTACACCAAGCAGGTTTGTGATCTATCAAACATGGAGTAAGCACAGCTGCAAGCAATCTCCGCTTCATAAATCGGAGACTAACGAGAATGTTTCTCAGCTGCTTTTTAGTCACATCCTGCCCTCACCACGCCCACTTACTGCCATAAATAGTCAGTGCAAAGTGCCTTGTGGATCTCATGCATATACATAAGCCGGCTGTTGCAGCGCTCCACCAATGACGATGACGACCGTAGATCAAGGCAGATCAAGGAAGCGCTATTTCACAAGTAGAAGTTGAGGTACTTGTGGGTGAGGTGGAGAAATGAAAGGAAGTGCTTTTGCAAAACAAGAGAAAATGCCGTCAATGCTGTGAATTCTTCAAAGAGATCTGTGGCGGACATAAAAAAAATGGTCCAATCGGTATTCGATTTCGGGTGAAAGTCCTGCGCGCTAACCAGTCAGCCAAACGGAGATCTCCCCTGTAAAAGTAGCCAGGGCGTATGATCAATTGGGTCACAGTGACAGGACACACACTGTCATGACATTCTGTCTCAATCTGTCCCCCTGCTGATATTCTGCATTCTGTATTCTGGCTTCAGGCTGTGTGTGTGTGTGTGTGTGTGTGTGTGTGTGTGTGTGTGTGTGTGAGTGTGCGCGCGCGCATTTAATCAATTTCCCTCTGGGATTAATAAAGTATTTTTGAATTGAATTGAATTGTATGTGGGGGTCTTTGAAAACGAAGCAGTACAAGTGATAATGCTGCAGGATTTCATAATTGTATCCTTCTCAGCAGCAGCACTGCAGGTGCTCTCCATGTCCAACATGTGCGTAAGCCAGGTCCTTAGTCAACTTAAAGTTGCCCACATGTTTCCGCTAAGTTTTCTTTGATAAATCCCAAAGTTTGCGTGGAAAGTTGCTTATGCCGTTTTCCGAACCCGTTTTGTGCGTAAGCAAGCTTGATAAATGAGGCCCCAGGTCTCTGCTTTTTGTAGATGGCGTGGTCCTGCTGGCTTCATCAGAAGATGAAGATCAAAGGTCATTGGATTATGCATTTGGGTGTTTAAAATGCAAGGCAGTTTTATTTGTATAGCACATTTAATTTCTTTCAGGGAGCTGCCCCCCTCTATTTAATTGCGCTCCTGAATAGACATGCTCCATCACGCTCTTTGCGCTTCTCTAATCAGGGCCTGGTCACTGTCCATCGTACTAGGTTTCAGACTTGCGGGGACCGGGCTTTCTCAAATTTTTCTTAATCCATGTTTTAATAATTTTATCATGTTTTTATATTATTTGTATTCACTGTGTTCTAGTTTTTTATGTGCTGTGTTCTGCGCCTTGGGCTCCCCTAGAGGGTTGTGGAAGGCGCTTTATATATAAAGTCTTGATTGATTGATTGATTGATTGATTGATTGATTGATTGATTGATTGATTGATTGAAGGAGATCCAACATGTATTCTGGCCCCATGCCATTGAGTGATTTATAAACCAGCAGAAGTACTCTGTTGTGCTCAGAGTACTTCGGCTCGGAAGTACTGTGATGTGCTCGGTTCTCTTGGTTCTTGTTAACTCATTCGCTGCCAGCCATTTCCTGATCAGTAAAGCCCTTCGCTGCCAGTGTTTCTTACCGTTTTTACAGTTTTTTTAAGAGTCACAGAACGTTGCGCGCTAGGATGATGTTGACACCAAAAAAAAGCAGAGACTCACCTCTTACATCAGGAAGAATCCGCGCGTTTCGAGCGTTATCCGTTCTTTCATAATCCGTTGTTGAATTGTGATCGGCAAAAGCTTTTCTGGTTCGCGCCTCACTTTTTTTACAGCAGTGGCCCAAAACGATCTCCTAACACATGGATTTTCTGCTTCCTGATCACATGATGTGTGACATACGCAGATGAAGGTCGGCTTTAGAGCTGAGATGTTTTTTCTCATGGTGCGGGGGATCATTCCGATGCCCACACAGTAAAAAAAAAAAAATGCAAATGACGACTTTAGTTGTCACTGGCAGTGAATGAGTTAAGACACTAGCAGCAGCATTCTGAAAAAGCTGCAGTTTCTTCACAGCTTCTTTAGGAAGACCAGACAAAAGACCATTGTAATAGTCCAGCCTGCTGGAGATTAATGCATGAATGATTTTCTCTAGGTCTTGTGTGGACATGAGACCTTTGAGACTTGCTAGGACTCTGGCTTTGATGAAGATGATAAAATGCTGATCTAGTTATAGCCTTAATGTGACCAGTGAAGCTCACTTATGAAACCACGTTTTCTAACCTGTGTCTTTGGTTTTATTCCTCTGGTGCCAAGTTTAGCAATAACCTAAAAGAAAAAGGCGAAAGCTGCAGAAAGACGAACAGAGGGGCATGAAATGTCGTGAAAATGTGGAAAATTTGCAGAAAAGATCACTGTCTCAGAGGTAGAACAGAGTAGTTATCACTGTCATTTCTGACATATGTAGACTAATCTTTTCATATATATATATTAAAATGATGTAGGTGGATTTTTTTCCCCCTGTCATGATACGAAGATGGTTTGGACCCAAAAATGCAGTAACCCAGGATGACACGAGGCAGGGATGAAGATTAAGTAAAATCCTTTATTTTAAGGATAACCAAAAACAAAAATAAATCCAAAAGGCTGGAAGCCAAAATCCAGATAAAGATCTGGAGATCCAAAAAACACCAGTGAACACGAGAAGGCCAAAAACACTAGTAATCCAAAAGCGAGACGAAACTGACAGAATAACATAACAATGGACCGACACAACACAGAGAAAAGACAGGGCTTAAATACACTGGGAGGAACAATTAGGGAAACAGGAAGCAGGTGTGTGGAGTGAGGGCTGGAGGGAAGACAGGTGACAACAATTATCTAAATGGGGAAACAGAACCAAAGGAGGGCAGATAAACCTAAAACTATAAAACACAAAACTGAAGTAAAAGACTGAGGGAAGGACTCACACAAACACACACAATCACACCCAAATACACTCACACACACACACACACACACACACACACACACACACACACACACACACACACACACACACACACACTGAACTGGGAAATGGACACACACACACACACACACACACACACACACATACACACATACACTGAGTTGGGGAATGGACATGCACACACCCACACAGACACCGAGCTGGGGACAAAGAGGCTGGAGCTACAACTGGAGGGGATGGGGATGATTGAATGCCTTCAAACAGAAAACACATAAATGAGACGCAGACAAAAGACACATGAGGGCGCTATGAGACACAAAAGGGAATCTAGAGAGGGATGGAGAAACATTAGGAGACACATGAGGGAAGATGCAGATGCAGACCATGACACCCCCATAAAAAGTCTTATAACATAAACCTTTACTAGTTGTTTCAGCTTCTGCAGCAGCTGCATTTCAACATCTGGAACACAAAGAGTCGGAAACTGCTGTATTTTTGTGTTGCACAATTCATAAATATAGAAGGCCTTATTATTAAACGAATGAGAGTTTATTTATGGAGGGCCTGAATGCTGATTAATAATTAATAGCCAGAACTATTGCTGCTCCATGCGACATATTGTGGTCGGTAAATATGTCCAAAAGGAGGAGGGAGAATGTTTTATTGTTTTTTTTTTTCATTTCCTTTTTGGCCAAATTGTAATTGTGTTATTTGGTCCATCTTTCATGTGGTGATGTTTCCTGCTTGAGAGAAAGACAAAAAGAGGATTTGATCACTGTGATGAATACGTTTAGCACAGACTTCCAGGTCCTCGAGTTCTGGTCCAGCTTATGTTTGGTACAACTGCAGATTTGAATCCGATCGCTCAGCTCAGTTCTGGTTTTGATGTTAAAGTCATTGAGAAAGGAAAAAATTTGTCTGTAGCTCACTGTAAATCCTAACCCTCCCAGTCTTTCATCTGCAGCTTTTATTCTGTCTGTCAGACTGGATGTGAGCTGAATACTAATGCTATCAAAGTTTTAGTTATATAAATGTATTTTCCACACATTTAAGCTCTTTATGAGCAGCAATAAGCACAGCTCCTATCAGTATCTGACACTTTAAAGGTGATGTTATTTTATTGAAGGTTTTCTTTTCATTTTTGGGGGTAATTGATTACTTTGGAGTCTTTATGCATCATTTCTTTCTCCTTACTCCTGCAGGTGTTTTAATTATTTAAAGCATGTGTGCATCAACTCTGCTAGTTTAAACAAACAAGCCATTTCTCTCTCCCAAGTTCGAAATTTCATGTCAGTCGTCTAAGAGCTCAGGCTGGCTAATTGACTCATTCCTGGTGTTTTTCCTCCTAAATCACACAAACCACCTTGATGTGTTTTAGTGGGTTTGTTCACACACACTCAGGGCCGATCTGCAGCGGTGATTTCTGTTTTAACAAAGATAAACCAGCAGCTCACTCGGGTGGAACTGCTGGTTACAAATTATGAACATTTGCTAAGCAGTTTTCAAAAAGTCTCAAAGGATTTGCAACAGTTCCTTGTGTTCTTTATCTTGAATTTTGCTCAACATGTTTTAAAAAACTGATAGTACTCAGAGTACTCTCTGGTATCAGTAACGCGTCATTGAACACACTGAGCATGTGCCATAAAATGTTTACAACAAATGACAAAGGAGAACGTTGACACCATCAGTTTAACAAATCATCACTTTTTTTGTCTCAACCATTTCTGTTCTCTTTCTGTCTTTAAGGTGACATGTAATTGTTTCACCATCAGTGACGGGGAGCTGCAGGAGATTGGAGTGGGGCTGTATCCAAGGTAACACACAATTAAACACTTCCATAGACACACAGGTCATCACTGTGAGAAGCACACACACCTGAGAATAATTTTTACTGCAGCTCATCCTGCCTGTGTCTGGTAAATTTTACAGAATTTAAATGCAGCTAGGGAGATGCGGTACCTGCCCTCATCAGCCCTCCACCCGCACATTTTCAAAGCCCTTGCTGTGCCTCTCGCACTGTCCTGACAGTTCTTTGAAGTTTGAAGCAAAGGGGAGAAAAAGAGAATTTTCTTTTTTTTTTTTTTTTTTGAGGCAAGAACTTGAAGGGATATCAGAACCCTGTTTGGGCAAAAGAGAAGCCAGTGTGTGCAGAGAAAAAATAGCTTTGACTCTAACTGATGTGTGATTGATGGAATAGTTGTTGTCTGGGCTGTGAGAGTGTATCACACACAAACACACACCAGGCGATATGCTCAGTAATCCCTGTACTGCATCCTGGGTTAGTGGGGTGGGATTTGGCCCGTTGTTGTACATGCTGTTTGTGCTGCTGCTACACACACACACATCCACACACACATACACTAACACCGCAGGTATCCCAGCCAGTTTATCTGGCCGGTGTGGAGAAGTCAGATGGTCACAGTCGCGTTACTAAAGCTCAGCCAAACTGCGCGTGCCCGTGAGTGATTTGTGTTGTAACTCATCCATAAATGATGGGCTCGTTCACAGGGTAGTCCCCTGCCTATTCATATTTTGGGTTGCCTAGCAACCGTGGGTTTCCTAAAGGAAGGGGGATTACGCTGCTGAGCCTGCACCTCAGTTCTCTCACACTCTTGATCATTTTCTATCTGCTGTGCTTCAAAACTCCTTTTTTCCCATTAGTTGCCTTTTTGCCTCTCTTGCTGTGTTTTACCCACTGATTCTCCTTGGTGCTAATTGGACTGTTGGAAATTTGATCTGAAACCATCTTGAGTTCAGGAGCAAAAGGATTCACATGCTAATTGATAACTGTTTGTGATTTTTCTCAACCCTGTCCTTAGAGTTCATATTGTATCATACACTATGTTGGCATAAATCATAATATCATGAGTGATTTAAAAATTGTTTTTAAACATATTTACATTCCTAGTGTGTAAAGTAGTTGATCAAAAGACTGAGTAGACAGAAGGCAGCACTTCACCATGCATAGCAAATTCTACATAAATAAAAAAAGTTTAATTTGGACTACTAAATACAGCACTTTACTAATAAGTACAGTACTGTATTAATACTTGCAAGCTTTAATAAAAAAACTGTTTTTATTTGCTTTTTGAGCCTTGTTATCAATTCCCTTGAAATATTGTTGTATGATTTTGACGCTGTTGTCCACATTTTCCTCAGAGTCTTTTAACTGGGCCATATCATGGAAAATCCACTTTTTGGAGCTTTTTAGCATGTTATATTTTTGTTTCCTCATAAAAGAATACCCCCAAACTTGTTTTTGGCTGCATTTTCCTGTTTCAGCTGTATATTTGAAATTTTATTTTAAAATCCACGAAAAAAAGACCAATAAAAATATTTACATTGCTCCATGTTCTGGCTCCTGACACCAAGCCCTGCTCCCCCCTCTGAATCTGGTCTGTTTTTTATTTTTAGTTTTTTACTGTGAAGATTTGATTGCAGCTACAGAACCTTTGAATCCCACCTCCCATGGCGAGTACAGGATATGTAGCTTAGGTGACTGCTGCCAGATAGACTTGGTTGTCTGGTGGTTAGAGTCCTGGGCTGGGATGCAGTTTTGCAGAGGTTCACATCCCATTCGTGGGAGTAACTTTTTTTCTTCTTTTTTTAACTACACTTGCCAGCATGATGTTTTCAATCCTGTATTGGTAAACTGTTTAAATTATAAGGATATGTTTATGTTTTCTGTGTTTATCTAGCTAGTGTGAGTCCACCTGAGGTGAGCATAGAAAATCAACTAAAATGCTGCTTGGAAATGACCAAATTCAAAGATGTTTCATCACAAAATAACACAAATAAAACTAAAATATAAAAACATGAAATCTGTTTCAGCTGGCAAAATAATTTACTGCTGATACTGGGAGTCAAACCCACATCAGCACAAGACAAAACAGCGTTGGCAGGCAGACATCTTAACCTCTGGACTGTCATCACCACAGCAAATGACTTGCCTAAGGCGCTGTTGTAGGCATGTTTTGTCAGAGTGGGCGTGGGCAGAGATTCACTAAAACAAATCGTTCTGTTGCCGGGTATAAATTCAAGCTGACATTTTATCATGTGCTGTGCCTACCTTTGTTTGCAAAGGGTTAAATTAGCATGATATGGAACCTTTAAACTCGTCTGTAGCTGCAACCAAATCTTCACAGTAAAAAACTAAAACTGAACCAGTTCGTATCTAATTTGATGCTTGACTTGATAAACAGAAATTATTAAAAGATTGTACTTGTCAATTTAAATTTAACATTGATATACAGTAATAACTATCGTTTTATTTTTCAACAGCAATGAAATAGAATTAAACAGAAATAGCTGCAGTATTTACCAGTGTTAATTTTGTTGACAAAGTATCTTTTTTTGTGACTAATACATTTTTGCAGGCTAAAACAAAATGAAAACTAAAACACATCTACAAAGACTAAATTATGATGAATATAGACTGACATTTTTGTCGGCGAATAATAGACGACAACGAAAATTTACATGAATGAAAACCTAAACCAATCGAACCTGCATCCTTCCGATTGCGGGGCGAGCACTTAACTCCTGTGCCACCATCACCCCTAAATAACCAATTTCAATACACAGTTTACATTTAGCAAGTACTGCTGTATTTAATCCATGTGGTTGTACACTGCTCATCACAGATGCGCTCATGAGGGCTTTATGCCACTTCTGCAGCAGTGCATGCTGGTCGTTCTGCAAATCAAACATCAAAACTCCTCAATAGAATGAAGTCCTCATTAATACAACTGTGTTTTCCTCTTCCAACCAAAATGTCTGCCATGATGAAATTGGTTTATTATCAGCTGGAAGCTTAGACAGAAGACTGTCTCTCACATGTCACGGTCCATCCTACTTCAAACAGCAACAGATATTGTTTATGTGAGATGTAGTCAATTACTCTAATTAGCATGCTAACGAGCTGCTCTCCCATCAGATAAAAGCATCGTTTGGAGATCTTGATGACTAGTTGATATTCAACCTGCAGCTTCTCCACTGTAGAGCAAAGCAAGGGGTGTTATTGATGGTTTTACAAAGGCTGAACACGCACTCTTAATCTCATGCACCCATTGTTTTGCTGAATATGATAAACGATAGCTGCAGTAATGGAGGGGGATGTAAAACACACACAAACCTCTCCAGTGTTTTTCCCCAGCCTTGTGTAAGCGATATTAAATGTATTTTTTATGTGTGTGTGGGGGTGGGGTGGGGTGGGGGGCTCTTTAATAACAGTTACTTTCTCATCACACTGAAGGAGACACACTCATCAAGAACTTTAGAGGTAAGAGAGATCTCACCTTTCCTTTGGATCATTGAAGCTGTATGTATGTGGATATAGTTGTGTTTACCTCAACACATAGCATTGACTCTGGAACCCAAATATCTCGTTGAATTATACCTTTCCCTGGAGCATCTTTGAAGACCAAATTGCAGGTTTTATTTTTCTAATTCATATAAAATGCTGTACAAAAATACTATTTGAAATGCTTATTGTGGATATTTCATTGAAAATTACATAATCACAGTTTTTCTAGTAAAAAGTGGCCTTTTTCAGCAAAGCTTCTTAAAAGGCTTTATCTTCTAAACCAGGGGTTGTGACCCCTGGTCCATCGAGGGCCGCTATCCAGCAATTTTAGTTTCAACCCTGCTTCAACACACCTGATTTCAATCAGCAGGTGATTAACAGGTTTCTGCAGAGCCTGATGAGCAGCTGAACAGGTGAATCAACCACTGAATCAGAAGTGTTGGAGCAAAGACATGCAGGATAGCGGCCCTCGAGGACCGGGGTTCCCCATGCCTGATCTAAACCTTAACCTCCGACGTAACCAAATAAGCTAGGCGCTGCCTCAGCTCAGTGTGGAGAGTGGGTAATTTTAGGGTAGAGAGGTCATGTTATTGAGTCAGACCAGAAGAGATGCATGGCTCAGCAGGGCACTCGAGCTGGTGTCTGGGTCGGATCCAGCTCAAAGAAGCCGGCATGAGCTCCAGAAAAGGATGACAGGCGTGTCTCTCTCTCTCTCTAAGCACTAAACTACGTTACGTGAACGGATATTAATGAGTATGAGACAGCTGACAGACACTCTTTAGTATTAATATTATATTAACTGACTGATACTATTTTAATTGTCTGGTCCATGATAGTTGTTAGCACACGTCTTTTTTTTTTTTTTTTTTTTTTTTTTTTTTTTACCGTGTCCTGTCTGGCTGTGAAGCAAGCAGAATTGATGTCTGAATGCTGGTGACAAGCCTTACAGATTTATTCTCAGGTGGAGCATCAAAGCGTTTGCTTTTAATGTCACGCCTGATACTTAAAACTTTATTGTTATTGTTGCTGAATGCTTTGTAATTCCGACCAGACACGGAGACAGAGGTGAAAGAGAAAGGAAAAGAAAAGGTGGGGAGAGAGAGAGGGGGGGGGGGGTTCCACAAAAATAAACAATAATGAACAAGAGTCTGCTTCTAGACCTGCAGAAAAAAGACACAAAAAAAAACAAAGGGACACAAAAAAATGACACAACAACAATACAACAAGATCTACCTCTCACTGCGTCAACTTGATGAAAAGAAAAAAATATATATATATAATCAACATTGCTTAACTGAAGAATCACGATAATAAATCACAACATATTAAGTGCCCACCATAGTCTTAAGACCTGTGTTTAACGTGCCCAAGCCCATACTTTTGAGAGCACCATGTGAGCACCTGTGTGTGTACACGCGCTTGTTTATTTAAGGTTTTTCTATAGGAGCGCCCAACAGAGAGTGTGAGGGACCACAGATCTGCCCCCCAAAGATGCGCAGGAGACGGGGG